AATGGACAACAATAGGTAATGTGTACAAATTCTAGCTTAATTGGTTAATTAACGCATACAATAAAAATAATAATCTTAATTAAAGTTATGCTCGTTTTAATAAATTTTAGACAAATATTTAGAATGCATCACGGAATGAGAAAATAATAGAATTTAAAAAAATAAAGTATATATAACACAATATGACTGTTGATGTGTTTGATTACCAATCAAATGTGATCTGAATATTTTGTTGCAGCTGGGAAAGTTGTATTGTGGGTATGGCATGCTTATGTGATGAAGATGTGATTTTGTTTTTATTTAAAATTTCATGTTTTGTCTAGACTTTCTTCAACTGAAACTTAATTTAGTATTACGCTCCTTTGGGCTTAGTCAAAATATTACCCCAATTTATGTGTTGCGTTGCATTCTCTATTTATTTTCAAATATCATTTGTTTTTATGTATGTATTACAATGGGGCTTGATAGATACAAAAGTATTTTTTGATAGGTTGCAGAGTAAATTCAAACATAATTTCATAAACTCCTAAAATTTATAAAATTCTCTCATTTTCAATTTAAAAATTGTTACGTTTTTTTTCCAATTTTATCAACTACGAAGCTAGAATAAATCAAATGGACGACGGTTATACTGATTCAGATGTAAATTTTGCATTTTCGGCAACTTTTTTTTTTTTCATTCCGTGCTATACCACACGGATATTGTTGCCCCGGTTCAAAAACAAAAATTAAAGTTCCAAGTAGATCTACACGGACTGGTTTGAACCGGTTCTAGGTTATACAACACGGAATAAATTGTCCACGTTATGTAACCCGGAACCAGTTTGATCCGGTCCATGTGGAATCACACGGAACTGACAATTTTTTTGTTTTTTTTTCTTTAGTCCTTGCTGATTAACCCGGAACCGGTTCAATCCGGTCCGTGCGGATTCACACAGAATATTAATTTTTATATTTTTTTTAATGAAAATTTTGTGCCTTTACTAAAAGAACAACGAATGGAAGAATGGAAGAAGAAGAAGAAAATATGGTCTATTTGAACACACATGAATTGATCGACTACAATCAATTTTTGTATGTTACACTTGTGTTCGATAGTAGAGAGGAATTTGTTAATTATTCGAAAGAAACTGCTATTGGTCATGGTATGCATTTAATAAAACAGTCTAAATGTCCCAGTGGGCAGTATATGACGTGTGAGAAGTATGGACTTGGACGAGCAAGAGGTGTTGATGTGGAAAATCTTCCCTTTTTCATTGTGGTGTCTCCAGAATCGAGTTGATGGATTATGGCGATTTAAAATTGTAAATGGCAATCATAATCATGATCCGGTAAATTATCCTCAGGGACAACTTTCAACTAGTCGTTTGACTGAAGAACAATACAAAATAACAAGAGTTTTGACAAAAAGCCACGTGAACCCGATGATGATTTTGGATCATTTGAGAAAGAAATTCCGGAAACTACGACTTCTAGAAGGCATATTTACAATGCGCGGCGAAGATGAAAGTAAAGGAAATGGAAGGGAGAACTGCAGTGCAACAATTAATGCATAAATTCCAACAAGATGGGTATCGGCACTGGCATCGGGAAAATGAAGCGGGGATACAATGACCGACGTGATATTTGCGCACCCCGATTCGATCAAAGTTTTGCGTTTATTTCTGTATGTTAAATTGATGGATTGCACTTATAAAACCAACGCGTAATAGGTATTATTTTTAATATTCAATTTGTGTAGTGTTTCACAATGATAACACTATTATTGTATTTTGATTTAGGTACTTGATGCCTTTATTGGAAATAATTGGCGTTACTCCTGTTGGAAGGAGCTTCATGATTGTTGTTGCATTCTTGTCGCGTGAAGACGCAGACTCGTATGCGTGGGCTTTATGGTGTTTGAGAGAATTATTGGATGGTGTAGATCCATATATGATTTTGGCAGATTGGGATTTGAGCTTGTTGAAAGCGTTGCCGCATATATTTCCGCAGTCGAACCACATGTTATATTTATTTCATATAAACAGAAACGTTGAGGCAAATGCGACGAGATTTATGGGAGGCAACATGAAGCATGGTGTAGTGTTTCATAGAACAGAATTGGAGGCTTTAGTGAATTCGGAAACCAAATAAGAGTATGCTCAAAATTATCACAAACTGATGAGAACCATTGGTGGAACTACGAGGTTGATAACGTACCTAGAGGATACGTGGTTAATTTACGAGGAGAAATTTGTTGGAGCTTGGACTCGTGATTTCCAATATTTTGGTAATACGTCGACTAACAGGTACACATTAAATTAACATACGATCAATTTATATAATTTTTATTTTTGTTTCATACTAATTGTGGTTGTATTGGAATAGGATGGAGAGTAATCATTCATCGTCCAAATGTTGGTTTGCATCTTCGACTAGATGTGTTCACACTACACAAACCATGCTTGATTCGCAAGTTTCGAGTCAAATCAATTAGTTCAAGGTGAATTTCTCATTATCAATCAAAATCCGATTGCATGATGTCGCGTATCCATGTTCTCAAGGTTTAATATGCAATGTGACGCATGATGCATTGAAATTATTGGATGTAGAGCGCAAGAGTGCGATGAAGAATGTTGTTGGTTGTATACACAGCCTTAGGCGTACATATGAACTCCCGTGCGCGTGCGAAATTGCAAAAAAAATTCGAGACAATGATATTTTACCGTCGCAGACGTACATCGATTTTGGAGTACCATGAATGTTGAAGAAGAAAAATCACTTGAGTCACTGTCTGATAGGACTGAAGCAATGAAAAAACAGTTCCGGTATTTTTCGACAGAAATTGACGAGAAAGAGGATTATGCGACAATGAAAAACGTTGTGGAGTACATGCGTAACATGTTTCATCCTGAAACAACCCATTTGGCAGAGCCGTCAGAAGTTAAACCGAAAGGACGACCAAAGAACAATGCGATACAAAGAGAGATGACTCTGGTTGGGAGTACACAGTGAAATCTTCTTCAGCTTCACAGGGTCGTACAAGAACGACGGCCGACGGGACACCTGAATCAAAGTTCCACGGTCGTGGTCGTGGTCGTGGCAAATGTACTAAGGAATCAACTTCCACTACTGACCCACGTATATAAGAAATTAATTTATACTCATTCCTCCCCCATTTCATCGCGTCCACCATATGCATGATTTTGAAATAAAAGAGGGTCTACGCAAAATTAATTTATTCGTTTAAAATCCAAATTACTTTCTTTAATTAAGTCGAATGCATCTATTAATTTAAAATATGAAAACTAAAAAAATAATATTCGAGATGGAAGTTGGAACGAATTCTCAAATTATTTATGTTCTTTTCACATATAATTAATCCAGAATAAATTATAAAAATAGATGATAATTATATACTTTAAGAAACCAAAATTCTTAAATACATTAATAAATTATATCATTTAAAAACTGATTTTTCTTTTAAATTGTTCACCACACCTATTAAATTTCTATTTTTCATATTATAACTAAATTATTCACCACACCTTATATTGTAGAAAATATGTGCTAAATCCCCTTTTATTATCAAAAAATTGCATAAAATTCCCTCTATAATTAACGGTGTTAACTTTTAATGAAAATATGGATTTCGTACAAAGTAAAATGAAACACAAGAGAGTTTCATGCAAGAAAAAAAACACAGGCCCATATTTTTTTTGAACACAGGAGGGTCTATGGTATTTACCCGAACAAATAGTTAAAGAGAGAGACACTATTTCATTAAGGGGCTTGCTATTATCAGTGCGATTTTTACCACTCGCAGTGCAAAATAATTCATTTTTTTTTTCTTTTCCAAATCTTATCCAAATACCCTCTCAAACACTCTCAACCTTTTATTCTTAAAATTTATCAATTTTAGTATTTTTTCGACCAATATCAGTTAGAGCACAAGTATTATCGACATGGATGACAACGGCTTCGATTTTGAGGTGAAAATACACGTTTTTTGTTCGTTTCCAACGTTTTTAGCGATTTCGTGTCATAACACACGAAATATATGCTTTCATTTCGTGTAATACTATACGAAATATGTCTTAAAATCGTTAGTTGTTTGTTTCGTATACAATCACACGAAATGGAAGCTTACATTTCGTGGTAAAACCTACGAAATGAAAGCTATTATTTCGTGTGTGTTTACACGAAATGTAGGCTACATTTCGTAGGTTTTTCTACGAAATCCCTTAAATATTGTCGTTTAATTTTAAATATTTATGCAGGAACTAAGAGAACAATCTCACGATCATAGTCACTTCTTTGAACGTGGTATTGTGTGTGATAGTAGAGAAGCGTTAATTATGTGGGCAAAAGACACAGCAATTAGTCATAATCATCGACTGATTAATCATTGTAAATCAGAAAAATATCATGTTTTAACGTGTGCAAGATATCAATCTGGACGACACGGACTATTGAAGAAACGTTCTTGTCCGTTCAGGTTAATTGGCAAAAAATCAACGGAGGATGGATTATGGCGATTGAGTGTGAGTAATGGTAATCATAACCATCTGCCGGGTATTTGAAAGTTTAACTTATGTTTAAATTTATATTTTTTTTTAATTTTGCATTCAAACTTATGTTTTGGAATATTTAAATTTGTAGCGTTGTGTTTTGCATTTTATATGTTTAATCTATGTTTTTGGAATGTATTAAATTTGTAAGATTGTTTGTAAGGTTGTTTAAATATGTACTTTAATTGCTTCAGTTGTACGTAGTTTCTAAATTCAAATAATAAAACTAGTGAATTAAAATACAAAACAAGAAACTAGTAAATTAAATAGTTCGTAATAATAATAAACAAAATTAGTAAAATAATTAGTTCCTAATTAAAAATTAAAATAAATTATTAAATTAAATAGTTCCTAACAATAATAAAAATGCATAGTCCTAATAATAATAAAAATAAACTTTAAAATTAAATAGTTCATAAAAATATATAACTGGCAAAAAAAACCGATAAACTACCGCCTCGCTCTCCTCGGCGGCTGCACCTCATGATCGTCGTCGTCGTCATCGTCGTCGTCGTTGTCACGGTCGATGCCAAGATATCGGGCGGCGGGCTGCATAATATCTCCAAGATCGGCACGTAGATCGGCAAACTGCTGCATCCAGTCCTGTCCAGTGCTCCTGGTGATCGGGTACAGGGCACGTACTACCTGGTAAAAAGCCGGCTGATCTGGTGGCCTCACATTCTCTCGATGCACTGGAGCCGGGCCTACGTCGGGGTTGTTGATCTTCGGATGAGTCCGATCAGTGTACCACTCCATGTAGTGCTCGTCGACTTCCCCCCGTTGTCGTGCCGTCTTGTATGCGCGGGCATGAATGGAATGAGCCTGGACCATGTCCCACATCCCACCCGGAAATGGGTAGTTGACTTTGTACGATGTACCTCCTTTGGGACCGCGTGAACATGGCTCCATCGACGGAATCAAGCCGCGTGGTATATCCTGAACCCATCCAAACTGTCGGACGCAACGATCAGGCATATACGGCTCTACGACCCACATGTACTGGATCGTGCCATGATACAACGTACGAGGGATACTCTCGTGTATATCCCGACCATACGGTAGCCACTCGACCTAAACAGAAAACAATATAAATACATAAATCAAAAAATTCATATTTAAACAAACTACAAGACATATTTAAATCAAAAAATTCATAATTAAAATTCATATCGAAAAATTCATATTTCAAAAAATATAAATACATAAATATAAAAGACTTACATCATCCGCTGTCATATTATCGAGTAAACCTCGAATATGCTCGAGCGTGCCCGCTTTTGGTGGCGCGTTCCACCTCTTGCATCGAGGCTGAAACTCGCGGTAGCGCTCGCTCTCATCCGGCGGCTGGAATCTCGGGAAATACTCGTATATCCAGCACTGCAAATATTTTATTTAAAGATATTAAAATTTATTAAAATATATTAAAATGAACAAAATAAGTTCCAAATATATTAAAGTTTACCTGAAGAAGGGTGGTGCAACCCGCCAAGCCCCTCGACTGTGCTCGGCTGCATATACCCAACTCTCTGTATAGATTGGCCAAACAGGCCGAACCCCACGAATACGTGCCGACCTGATCAAGCACTGAATCCTCGAGCACGTGCATATACCACGGTTTCACCCGATCACATGTCTTGTCGGGGAATAAAATCGATCCGAGGAGAAACACCAGGTATATCTGAACTCGGCGTCTCATGGGCGTGTCGGGCATCAACAACTGTCCCTGTAACATCCTCCATGTGGGGCCCCCATGCTTCCACGACTCGTCAATCTCCTCAAACTCGAGGTTTAAGGCCTCGGACAGCAAATACACGCAGTTTGTCCGCTCGGTGGCATCGTCGTACCTAGGCGCGACCACCCGTCCCTCCACATTGGCACCTAGAATCATCTGGACATCGTGGAGAGTGATAGTCATCTCTCCCCACGGCATATGGAAGCTGTTCGTCTCCGGCTACCACCGCTCCACGAATGCAAACAACAGCGGAATATCTAGGCCCTGTAAATAACATCGGGCTAGGGGATACAAACCGGTCATCCGCAGAAAATGCTTGTCTACGGATACATCTACGTCTTCTAGGGCATCTGCTATCTTCTCGTAGTTGAATTGGTTCAGGGAGTTGATACGGGACTCCACTCGTCCAACCGGACGTTCCTGCAATCATTTATTTAGAAAACATATTAATTAATCAACTATAAAAATATTTTAATAGAAGATACAAAAATTATAATATTAAAATTAAAACAAGTAATTAACTTACTTCTCCCCTCCAAATATATGCCGCTACGTGCGACTTGAAACTCGGTATCAAAGACGGATCCCGCGGGCCACCGGGAAATGGACCATCTAGCACATCCGGATTGACTCGAGTATAAGGTCGACCTCCACGGCCCCGTCCTCGGCCTCCACGACCTCTACGACCTCCACGACCTACAACCTCAGTCTCGTGAACGGGGGCCACATATTCCTCCTCCTCTATAGCACGAGAAGACCCAACATCGGGATGTGGAACTGATGATCTGGCTTCACCAGCTCTCTCAGCCTCTCGCCTACGTCGTGTAGACATAGTCATGCGCTCGCGCTCGCGCTCTTGATGTTCAGCCTCTTCACGAACTGCTCGCATAATTGCACTTGATTTCCCTTTGCCTGCCATCTGTTAAATAAAACACTATTAACATCAGTCTAAATAATAATAATAAATAAAATAAATCTTGAAAAAAAAAATATGAACAACAAACAAATACGTCTATTTCGTGTACAAACTCACGAAATTAGCCCCTTCATTTCGTGAGTTTCTACACGAAATGTAAGTTTATTTCCGAAAACTTTCGAACATAATCAAAATACTCAAAACGTATAGATTTTCGACGAAATTTGTTAATATACTACTATAAAAACATTGGGTCAATGATTTCGAGTTCGAATTTTACCTTAATCGTTTTTGAATTGCTCGTTTAATCCGCAAGAACTCGAAGAACCTTGGATAGGGTTTGAGAGAATTTTGAATTTTCTTAAGAAAAATTACAAATGAAATAAAGTCGCACTGCAAGCCGGTAAAAGTTGTTCTATGAATAGCATTTCAGTTCCATTAATTGTTTATAAAACAATTCTACGGCAACTTAAATAAATTAGGATTGGCTGAACCAATTTTATTGATTTCTCTATGCATTATGCAATGGTTACATGTATTACACGTGTCCATATTGTATATTGCTATGCAATGGTCATAATATTGTCATTAATTCTCATTAGTGACAACTTCTTAGTCTAATGTGACAATTTGCCTTGTCACTCAAAACCTTTTTTCTTGTAGTGATATCTGACTTTTTTCAAAAATAAAAAGTTGTACCAATGGTTTGCCGCTTGGAACGTTTTCAAATTTCTCGGTTTTTGGTTCAGTTTTTCGGTTTTCGTTTTTTTCTTCTCACTTCTACTCAACTTATATAATTGAATGAAAGAAACAATCAATATTTGTTTTGGATGATTAGTTAGAGTATGATTAGGAGTGAAAGTTGGATGGATCGGAATTAGTATTTTTCGAAAATTTCCAAATAATTTCGAAAGTACAAAATCAATTCCAATTTCAATTCAAAAAAATTCGGAATCTAAAAAGGGGGCGGCTAGAACAAGTACCAAAATTTTCTTATTTCAATACCACCAAATTTAATACCATATTTTAAAGAAGTTTTTAAAGTTTTTCCTTAGATTAATACCACAATTTTTTTAATAGGAAAGTACTAAAATATCCCTTATCAAACAAAATACAATTTATCCACAAAAATATCTTTTTGTCCTCATTTTAATACCGAATATTAAAAAACTATCTTCTTCTCCCCCAAACCCAACCCTCTCTTCTTCTTCATCTTCTACAAACCAAAAAATCTCAAAGTTCAAAAAAATCAAAACCTCACAAAACTTGTAAAATGGAGTCACAAGACAATAAAATTGTGGTTTACATGGAAGGAGAAACCATTAAAGTATGTATTCATGTCTTTTTTAAGATTCAAAGTTGATTTTGAAGAATTTTTTTTTTTTGAAATCCGCCTACAGTTTTCGACATATACAGGTCGAATTTTTGGTGAATTTTCGATACGAACATGTCGAAAATTGTATTAAAAAAAAAACAAATTCGACACTTCAAAAAAAACATTGCTGCTAATTTTTTTTTTTATTTACTATTATTATTTGTTTTTATGCAGTGTTTTTTCGACACATACATGTCGAAATTTTGAGAAATTTCGACATGTAAGTGTCAAATTTGGTTTTTTTGCTCTTTTTTATTTATTTATTATTAATACAATTTTCGACAAGTTGGTGTCATAAATTCACCAAAAATTCGACCTGTACATGTCGAAAATCTATGGCGGATTTAAAAAAAAAAAAATCTTCAAAATCGACTTTTAAGCTCAAAAAAGACATGGATACATACATTAATGGGTTCTCCTTGCTTGTAAACCATTCATTTGACTCCATTTTGTAAGTTGTGTAAGGTTTTGATTTCTTTAGTTTTGAGATTTTTTTAGAAGGGTTTGTTGGTAGGAGGAACAAGAAGAAGGAGGAGGAGGAGGTGAAGGGTTTGTGAAGAGGGAGATGGGTTTGAGGGGATTTGTGTTTTGTATTGAAGAAAGAAAATGAGATTTGTAATGTATATTTGGTTTTGATTTTCATTAAGGGTATTTATGTATAATCTATTTATTTTTTTGTTGGTATTAAAGTAAGAAAAATTTGGTACTTGTTCTAGTCACCCGCATCTAAAAATTCATTCCAATTCCAAAAGGCTCGAAAATTTCAGAATTTCCGAAAAAATTGGAAATCACATATGCTTTACAATTTCAAAACTTAACAAAAATTCTCTAAAATGTTCATATTTTTTCAAAAATAAGAACATCCACGTCGATAAAAGTAAAACTAATAATTACTAAATTTCAGATCAAAAAAATGAATAAAAATAAACATAGCATAATATCCAATAAAACTTCTAACAACAATTCATTATGTCAAAATCCTAACACAAAACTTATAGGTGTATTTTTTGGAAAATAAGTATTGTATAACATATATTATTTATAGGTGTATTTTTCGGAAAATAATCGGAATTTTTCTGAACTAATTTCGGAATTTAATCGGATCGAAAGTCGGAAATTTCAAATTTATTTTTTATAATTCCAATTCCAATCCAGAAAAATCGAAAAAAAAAATCGGAAATCGGAATTTTGGAAGTCGGAATGAAAAAAGTTATTCCAAATCGAAACTTTGTCGGATCGGAACCAGCTAAAATTGGAAACTCCGTTCCAACTTGCACCCCTAAGTATGATGCATTAAGAAAAGGCAGTGCATATTTGCAATCTCAAAATTTCTAGGGGTAAGACCTTACTTGATGGAAGACTAAAATATAAATAAATTTACTAAGAGCAAGAATGAAAATTACGAATATAACCTCAATATTCATTTTGATATTATTAATTCAACTTAGGCATAACTGCTCTATTGCAAGACCAAGAAACAAATATTGAAAAACGAGAGGGAACTCATTCGACCCACCAAAAAAATCCAACATCTTCTCAGACTCATTCTACATATTTTTTCCCGGGAACTTTACGATTGGCCGGAGGATTGGCCTGGCCCTTTCTCTTGCGCTTAGAAGCGGTTGGGGAAATACAAGGTTTCACTACAAAACCAAAAAAAAAAATTGAATTCTGCTACAAAAAATTGGCGTAACAGTAGATATTCGACATTAGAGTACCGAATTCAACTGCAATACACAAATAAAATCAATCATTTAAAAAAAAAGAGAAAAAAAAATGACATAACAGTAGATTATCGACATAGTAGTACCGAATTTTCGTTCAAAAATTGTTACACAAAGAATCTGTCAAATTTTGCACAAGAAATCGACATATAAAGGTCGAAAAACAGAACATTAATCGACAAGAACGTGGTGTCGAAATTTAGTGATAAAAACGACACCAATGTGTAGAACATATGCAATAAAAACGACAATTACAGGTCGATCTTTTATGACCGCAGCTCCTTCAACAATGGTGGTGGAATTTAACTCTAAAATCATCCATTTTTTCATAGAACCCTCCAATTATGTTCTCAATGGACTTATATTCATTATTCTAACAACAAAATCTCAATGATACTCATGTTTATCACATTTTATTTCTCAAAAAAACTTAATTCAAAAGGTAATTCCTTACATGTTTTTCGGGGTTGTAGCAGCGGGGGTAGTGGCGGCAGCAGTTGCAGGCGACGGGGGTTGTGGCGGTGGTCGACTGCAACAGCGACGACGGCTGCGGTGGTCGACTGCAGAGTTGTTTCTCGTCTTCTTCCCTCCCATTTTCAACTGTCTTTTCTTTCTTTGTTTTTTCCTTTTTTTTTAATATGGTCCTGCAAGAGTAATTTAGTAGAATTATGTTTATTTTGCTTGTATTTCACTAATGACATTGTAGTCTTTTTACAGTTCATTTGGTAGGAAATTTAATTTGGTCTTGCCCTAAGTAAGTTTTGCGATTACATATAGTCTCCCATAAGAAAAGTCAATTAATATACCCTTGTATAAAAATAAGTCAATAACCATCTTCTATTTACTTTTAAGTACAGAACACGAGGCAAAACGTTCTCGCGGTACTTGCTAAAAAAATGTATATACATTTAATATGCATAAATTTTACGGCAAATTACAGGCTACCCCTGAGATAAGGTAAAATTAAAAAAGAAACTCTCTTGTTTGTGTAATTACAACCACCCCTCAACTATATATTGTCTTACACGTCCACTCTCACGAAATCAAATTTACCTCCTGAATGAGGTTTTTTCGTAAGACAATTCATAGTTGAGTGGTGTGATTGTAATAACCCAAACTAATTCGAACTTACCTCAGGAGGGCTGGCCGTGCCATAAATTTTAATAGGGGTACTTACGAATAAACAACCATTTAGGTAGGCGTAAA